GTTGAAATATGAGGCATCAACATTCATCAATGTTGAAACTAAACAGAAAGTGTCGGTGACTTGCATGTTGAAACAATGTTAGGTTTTCAACCATAACTGATTCGTTATCAATGTTGATTCAGCCTCTTTTCCTCCTCTCCCTTCTCTTCCTAGAGAGGGGAGGAGGGGGAGAAGGAGGGGTGCGACAAACAGCACACAATGAGTCAACATTGATTAGACATTGGTATTTCAATTATTAGAATTCCACAATGAAACTACATTGATTCAATAACATCTTTTCAACATTAGTTAATAGTTAGAACTGGATGATTGTTTGATGGTTGATTCATCATCAGTCATCGACCTTAACCAAAAATCAACTTTTTTTGACCATAATTCAACGTTGAATTAACATATTTTGCTYTGTTCTTCTTCTTTTGGCTGTTCCTTCTTCAGGGGTCACCACAGCCAGACCACCCTGCTCTATCTCACTCTGTCCTTACCCCAACTCCCTCCTTGTTCTCTTTAACTCCATCCATACATCTTTGTCTTTCTCCTGGCAGCTGCATCTCCAACCTCCTTCTACTAATATACTCACTGTCCCTGCTCTGGACATGTCTAAACCCTATCAGTCTGGTCTCTAACTTTATGTCCCAGTCTGTACCTCTGATGATCTCAYTCCTAATCTTATCCACTCTTGTCATTCAGCTKTGCCACTTCCAGATCTGTCTTCTGTCTTTTTGTCAGAACCACTGTGTCCAAACCATACAACACAGCCGGTCTCYCCTTTCCTTTGACCTTTGCTGTCACCRTTCTGAAACTTTTTCTCCATCCTGCCTGGACCCTCTTCTTCATCTCTTTACTGCACTCCTCCTTTACTACAGTCAACCCTTGYAGTCCTGCACCTCTGTGACCTCTGCTCCTTCAAAACTAAGAAAGTCCAAAACAGTGTTTTTATAAAACAGTACAACAAAGACAGCTGTTTAAAGAAGATATCTGAGGAGAGTCACCTCTGATGATCTTTCAAACAAAACATTTCCTTTTACAAATGAAAATTACTGCTTTTACAGAGCCTGAGATAAAAACAGAAGTTTGTAAATGAGGTGACGGGTGTTTGGAATAGAGTCAYATTGTTTGAAGAACGACTGAATAATCACAGTTTATTAATATTTAGAGAGGACACCTGAAACAGAAGATGATTGGGACTAAAATAGTTTTTGTCACAGAACAGCCTTGAGAAAACAGGAGGAGAAAATATGAAGAGAAAAAAAACCTTCAGACCACATTTATCTAAAGCCTTTTATTGACTGAGCAGCTGAGAAAAAAACATGTAAACAAGAACAAAACGAGACTTGAGAGGCTCAGGTGTGTGCATTATTAAAATTTCAGAGATCTAGAGATTTAGTTTGGYAAAAGGCAGAATTTCCAGTTGTATTTTAATTAAATACATCAAGCAGCTTGTTGTTGGTGATTTCTCTGCATGTGGAGGAATTCGTATAAAGGTTTTTGTTATCACCTGCTGTGGTAGAAGGTGAGTTAGCAAAATATCTGTTAACCTACTGAGTGGATCTGACAGTTTTACTAATGATCTAAAATGTGCTGTGGTAGTAACTGAGAGTCATTCTCAACATATAACCAGAGCACTAATTAATCGTGCAAGAACTTTGCTTAATATTAGGCCAAAATTGTTTGTCTCAAAAAGTTTGTCTTTTAGCAAAATATCTCATTTACCACTTAACAAATTTTAAAGAAACTTGCAGAGAATCAAATATTTATTAAATTTATTTACAGCTGATTAACTTCATGGATCCGTCAGCAGCAGCATCTGATCAATATGTGATCCATGATGTGATGTAAATGTAACATTTCCTACATATAGGTCAAATTAATCACTGCAATAAAATAACTTTGTCTGTTTTTGTCACTTTTACGGTGGATTGCATCAACTCTGTTACATACAGAAGGGAAACTTCACCAAAGTGAAACATAAATCTGTGGATCTGTGTTTGATTACTCTGGCTTTCTCAAGGACCAGGATGTGTGACACAAAAATCTGAGTTTTGGAGCTGAAAGTGAAAGTAGACAAACTGAATTTTTAATCAACCAAAATACAGTTTCAAAGCAAATTAATTCAGGTACAAAACTTTAAATTCAGTTTCAATTTAGTGAAATTCATTTTCAAACCAATGCATTCAATTTTAAATTATGCACATACAGATTCAGTCTGAGCGATTCACATTCAGTTCCTGCTGGTACAAGATTTATCCCATTAGAAAGGTGCTGTACAAGTATAGTTCATTTAACATTTAGATGCAGACGGTTATATGTCCTGATAATAATTTTGATTGGATTTTCTGAGCGTTACAAGTTGTTATCTGTAGAAAACAAAGCTGGTTTTCCTGAGATATTGAGATGATTATGGTGTGAAAATGAGCCGTTCTTGTGTTGCACTCAGTTTCATCATGTTGTATCGCTGCCACGTACTCAGAGTTGATCTGTGTCAGTAACGTGTCGATCGTTGGCAGATGTCGGCTGACGTGACATTTTCAGCTTGAATCAGATGACAGACGGACTGTCCTGCTGTGTTGGAAAGAAATATTGGATTTGGGAACTGTGATTTAAAAAGAAGTCTTATTTATCAGGAGAAGATGAGCTTTTTATGTTGAAATAACTAAATATTTTATCTTGAGAAACTAAGTTCTGCTGTCTTGATCATTATGAATTTAAATATCTTGAAGAAGTGCTGTTCAAATGATGCAGCGTGTCCCAGTTACACTCTAAAGAATTAAGCTGGAGATTTAACTTTATAAATGATGTGTGAACCTCTAAAACACATTGATCATCAGACATCTTACAGTAAAAGGCAGTGGCTGATATGCATTCATTCAAGGACTACTTTAATAACCCCTAATGTGACACTTCATCACTTTTCTGAAACATCTGGTCAAATCTTCATCTTGTTTCCACTGACCAGAGCTCACATTCTTTATCTTGGTTCATATTTTTAAATGAATTTTCATTTACTAAAAAAATGCAGCGAGTGATTAATTCTGAAAGACTTTAATATAAAATATTTAAAAATTTTTTGCTATTTGTTGTAAAAAAATAGCCCCTCAAAAACCAAACAAACCCTAAATTAGAAGAGAAGTTGCTGAAATCTAGCACAAATAAGCAGAAAGAGTTAAGCAGTAAGTAGCCGAAATTAAAACTAAAATGTGAATTTAGCTGAAAAAAGTCATAGTAGTTGAAAATAACTGAAAAGTAGCCAAATTTGCAAAAACAGCTGAAAGAAACTGATAGAAACACAAAAAAATAATTTAGTANAAATCTAGCACAAATAAGCAGAAAGAGTTAAGCAGTAAGTAGCTGAAATTAAAACTATAATGTGAATTTAGCTGAAAAAAAGTCATAGTAGTTGAAAATAACTGAAAAGTAGCCYAATTTGCAAAAACAGCTGAAAGAAACTGATAGAAACACAAAAAAATAATTTAGTAGAGTGGTTGAAAAGAGCAGAAAACGCTAAAATTAACAAAAATACATACATAAATAAATAATTACAATTTTAAAAAAGGAAGGCAGCTTTAACTGCCACAAAGAAGTGAAAAACAAAGCTGACCCAGAGCAAAGGATGAAAAATTTGAAGGACTGAACAATGTTGAAGACAGCTCTGTTCATTTTCAATGAGAACAAAACTGTCAGAAAAGGCTGAATTTCWCAAAAAGTATAAATTGCTGAAACACCAAAAAGCCATAGCTGGAATGTGCTGAAGGCTGCAGGTTTTGATGAGTGAATTGTTGAAATAGCACAAAGTTGTAAAAGAGAAACCTGCTGAAGAACATACAGAAGAAAATGGATGTAGTGTCCACATGTCCCAAGTTTTAAACAAACATAAAAGCCACGTTTGAACGACGGTCTTTGTTTAAAACTCTGACAGAAGATAACACTGTCAGTCACCGGGCTTGTCACCGTGGAAACCACCTGTCTTCTTCCTGTAACCATGGCAACCTGTCTCCTCCAGTCTGGCCTGGCTCGCTGCAAACCTCCATCGTTCCTGAGCTGCATGTTTGGGATGACTCTCAGTTACTACCACAGCAGTGGTTAGCTTCAGTCTGTACAAACACCTGAGTTATACTGTAGCCTTTCAMTTTTTACTAACTTGATTATCTCTGGTGTCCTGACTCAGATGCTGAAGCTGATCTAAATCTGATGATACTTTRTGACTGCATCATTTAAACCCTTTCYMCAGTGGTGGAGGAAATACTCCAACACTGTACTTYAGTAAAAGTACAGATAAACAGACAAAAATGTARTCTAGTAAAAGTAAAAGTACCACATTAACATTTTTACRTGAGTAAAAGTAAGTACTTGCTTTTAAAAATACAAAAGTAAAAGTACTGGCATAATGTATTCCCTAATAGTCTACAGTATCATGTTGTGTGTCTACTGTGTGTATATTTTAACATGTTTTTTAACAACCATTTTAGTGACCAATGCTGCAGATGATGCATGTTTTTGTGTTTAGCCTCTGACACGGTTCACACCTGGACTTGTGATTCTGCATCATCACAGATTGTGACAACAGCTYCAGAAGCTGTAAATTCACCACCGACGTCCTTCATCAAATCTCAACAAGTCGTTGTTTTAACCAGTTAACTTGAACAAGTCTTTTAAAAAAAGGCCATGAGCGGTGCATTTCCTCTGTGGTGGAATCCATTGTGGGCGTGTTGTGATGCTGATGCTCCAGCAGGCGATGCTCTGCTTTTTTCCTTGAACGAGGGTCCAATGGTACTTTCCCGCTTTGCAGTGGTTCAATGGACCAATTACAGTAATTTCCCTCTCGCCACTGATTACTTTCAAACTAAAAAACAAACAAACAAACAAAAAAAAAACTACGTAATGCGACGTGACATGAATGCTAAAGAAATGTAGTGGAGTAAAAGTCAAAAGTACCCATGATGAAATCTACGGTACTTAAGTAAAGTACAGATACATGAAAATTGTACTTAAGTACAACAACAAAGTACTTGTACTTTGTTACATCTCACCACTGCCATTCAGTGATTCATCAGATATTTTGCTAACAGACAGACAAGGTTGACTCCAGCAGTTGAAGACAAACGATTTTGGTCACAGATCTTGTGTAATGTGTTAGTGCTCAGAGTGTGTGTTGTGGATGACCCTCAGCTACTACCACACAAAATAAGCTTCACTGCAGAACTGACTGAGTTATAGAATAGAGGAATAGAATAGAAACAGCCTTTTTTGTCCCGTGTGGGGAAATTCAGGTTTAGTAGCAGCAGCAGATATATATTGCTGTGTGACATTGTCAACTGTAGAAATAATAATAGAATTAAAGATAGTAACAATAAAAATAAACATAGAATATAATAAAAATAAGAATAATAACTACTGTACCAGACTATCAGATGAAATTGGTTAAAAATAAAAATAAAAGCAAGATACTGTTCAGAAAAATACAAAATTACAGTAAAAAACAATCATGACAGACTCATGATCTTGTGTGCAAACTGAGTCAAACTCAGTCATTAAGTCCAGTCCAGGAAAAAAAAGATGCACAGTTTCCACAGGTTATTATTTCTGTAATGATTGAGAGGTAGAGTTGTTTGATGGGCAAACACAAACATGGATGCTTATCAATATTGTTGGGAGCAGTGYTGGTTATAGCAGGGGTTCGCACGGGTCCTTGAAACCATTGAAAGTTTGTGAATTTGAAAAATTATTTCAAGGCCCTGGAAAGTTTGTGAAAACAGCCAAAAATTACACTTATCCTTGAAAGTCCTGGAATGTTTTTTGGGGATTGAAATTCTCTGTTCACACGACTTATTTTCATCATCTTTTAAATAAATTTAGTATGAAATAAAATAAAAAAATGTACATAATGTACACAACAATATGGATAACTCAGGATTACTGTAAACTGGCATCATTGTTTCTGACTCAACAACTTCTATGTTAAGTTTTTCATTGAATTTACATGATATTAAACCTGTTTGTAACATTCTGTGTTAGCAGCAGATAATTGCCGTTGCGCGTGTTTCTTTAATTTGAGGAAATTGGTACTGGAAAGTCCTTGAAAGGTCCTTGAATTTGATGCTGACCAAGGTGTGGGAACCCTGTTATAGAATTTAACAGCTGATGGGAGGAATCACATAGCTGTTTATGTGTTTTTTTAAGGATTAGCTTTGGCAGCCATCTTGAATCCTGTTGACGCCTAAATTGAATCAGTTGCAGATGAAAAGTATCTTTTGAGAGTTTCATTAAAATCTAGAGATATTTTTCTAAGAGACATGACCTTTTTAAGATGTAGTCGGTCTCTTCTCTGAACCTTCTGCCTAAGTTAGTGTAACGATGTTTGTGTAACGATGTTTGTGTAACGAGCCTCATCCTGTGTTTCCAGCCGTGTGTGGTCCAGACTCCTCAGGGCCACGAGTACGAGGGCCGCAGCTACAACGGGAGGGGGGTAAGAGTGTTGTCTTCTTCACTCTCAGCTGACGGTCTCCTCCGGGCTTCGAGTGTCACTCTGCTGCTCCGTCTCCACAGATCACTGGCGTGTCGATCCTGAGGGCGGGGGAGACCATGGAACCCGCCCTGAGGGCCGTGTGCAAAGACGTCCGCATCGGCAAGATCCTCATTCAGACCAACCTGGACTCAGGAGAACCAGAGGTAAAAATAAATATAAAGACAAGTATTTAAAACCTTTCAGTTCCACACAGTGCTTTAAAATCACTTCCAGCAATAATGAACGTGCTCTTCTCCAATCTTCTACCATGTGATGCTTGTCTCCGTGGTAACCACCTGTCTTGTCTCGCGTAACCATGGCGACTGGTCTCCTCCACTCCGGCCCGGCCAGCTGCATTACCTGCGTCTGCCTAAAGACATTGGTGAAGATCATGTCATCCTGATGGACAGCACCGTCTCCACCGGCGCTGCTGCCATGATGGCCGTGCGAGTCTTACTGGTGGGTGGAGCTTAACGCTGAACAGCTACGTGGTCACGACTCCACCTCACTAATCTGATTCTGCAAAGAAAACAAGGCCGTGATCGTGACTCTGTCACTCTGTGAGCAGGATCACGAGGTGCAGGAAGATAAGATCATGCTGGTGTCGCTGCTGATGGCTGAACTCGGGGTGCACTCTGTGGCCTACGCCTTCCCAAAGGTCAAAATCATCACCACAGCTGTGGACAAGAGTCTGGACGACTTCTTCCACGCAGTTCCTGGAATCGGTAGGCAGTCACATGCTTTCTTTGTTTCAATCTGTTCGTTTGGAGACATTTTATTCAGCTGGAACCATTAATAATTTCAAAAATAGCAAAGTTCAGCGTGATGACTGTCACATTAACTCCCTCTGGGTACTGATGCTCAGGAACTCAGTTTTAATCACCAACACGTTTTGTAGCAAACAATATTACAAACCAGATTATCAGCACAAGTTTGTTTACTCTCCGTCCATCTGTTTTCTGCCACTGCTGTCGGGTCTCGGGGGCAGCAGCCTAAGCAGAGAGACCCAGACGTCCCTCTCCCCAGCCACTTGGACCAGCTCCTCTGGGGGAATCCCAAGGTGTTCCCAGGCCAGCCGAGAAACATAGTCCCTCCAGGGTGTCCTGGGTCTTCCTCTGGGCCTCCTCCCAGTGGGATATGCCCAGAACACCTCACCAGGGAGGTGCCCAGGAGACATCCTAACCAGATGAGCCACCTCAACAGGCTCCTCTCGACGTGGAGGAGCAGCAGCTCTACTCTGAGTCCCTCCTGGATGACTGAGCTTCTCACCCTATCTCTAAGCGAGAGCCCAGACACCCTGCAGAGGAAACTCTTTTCAGCCGCTTGTATCTGTGATCTCGTTCTTTCGGTCACTACCCAAAGCTTATGACCATAGATGAGGGTAGGAACGTAGATCGACCGGTAAATCGAGAGCTTTGCCTTCTGGCTCAGCTCTGTCTTCACCACGACAGACGGGTACAGCGCCCGCATCACTGCAGATYCAGCACCAATCCACCTGTCAATCTCCCGCTCCATTCTTCCCTCATTCGTGAACAAGACCCCAAGATACTTAAACTCCTCCACTTGGGGCAGGACCTCGTCCCTGACCCGGAGAAGGCACACTACCGTTTTCCAGCTCAAGACCATGGTCTCGGATTTGGAGTCACTGATCTTTATCCCGGTCGCTTCAGACTCTGCTGTGAACCGCTCCAGTGAGAGCTGGAGATCACGATCTGATGAAGCCAACAGGACATTATTTACTGTAATGGGAAAAATAAAGTCCACTCTTTTCTCTATTCAAGGACTTTACATATCTAGAAATGTCTCAAATCAAACCTCAAGTGTTGAAAACACAACAGACTCTTCTGTCATTAATTATTAATGGTTGGAATCATGAAGTTATTGAGATGGGTGACAAATATATGTGAGGATGACATTTTTACACAGAACTACAGAACCATACAGTAGCAGTGTCTCAATTCAGGGACTGCAGCCCACGTAGGACGCATTTATCATCAGCTTACATTACTGCCTCGCACCGTTGGCTGTCCCTATTCGTAGGCCCATGCGGCCAACAAAACCCTGAAAAACCGACCGATATCCCAGGATTCATTGCGTCAGCAGCAAACTAAACTTAAAGTCAAAAGACGGCAGAATTTTTTTTACTACAGAGTTTAGTCTTTTATTATTATTATTTTTATTTTTTGTTTTGTTTTTTTACAGCGGAGTTTGGAAACTTATTATGGACTGAAGAATTCACMTCTAAATGCAGGTTTAGCAACTTAGCTGATGAAATTTATGCTGCAATGAGATGTTAAATAAAATGCAGTTACAAGCACTGATACTGGAGCTAAACCCAAATTATTAGTGATTTTGTTTTTATCTACATGTAAGATTGTTTTAATGATACTGAATTTTCTGTAGTTATACCATTAAAAAGACATCTGAAGCGATGTGATACAAAACATCTTATCAGGCAGCGCGTGGTCGTGAAAAAATACGTCATCTGTGGACTAGACGGTCTCATTTCACAGCCGTTTTTGCAGCCTACACAAGTGTCCTAGTCAGCTCTAGTCCATAAAGTGAGACCCAGATGTTATGTATTGATAATATGCATTGCTGTATATGTTCCTGTAAAGGTCCTTCTCAAAAAATTAGCATATTGTGATAATGTTCATTATTTTCTGTAATGTATTGATAAACATTAAACTTTCATATATTTTAGATTCATTGCACACCAACTGAAGTAGTTCAAGCCTTTTATTGTTTTAATATTGATGATTTTGGCAAAAAAGTAAAGAAAAACCAAAAATCCCTATCTCAAAAAATTAGCATATTTCATCCGACCAATAAAAGAAAAGTGTTTTTAATGCAAAAAAAAATAAACCTTCAAATAATTATGTTCAGTTATGCACGCAATACTTCGTGGGGAATCCTTTTGCAGAAATGACTGCTTCAATGCTGCGTAGTGCGTAGCATGGAGGCAATCAGCCTGTGGCACTGCTGAGGTGTTATGGAGGCCCAGTATGCTTCAACAGTGGCTCTAAGCTCATCCAGAATTTTGGGTCTTGTGTCTTAAGCTCATCCAGAGTGTTGGGTCTTGTGTCTT